GGGAGGCGGGAGCGGCCGTGAGGGGCGGCGGCGGGAGCGCGCCGCGCGGCCCCGCGAGGCCCCGCCCCGCCCGTGACGTCACGGGCGCCCCTCAGAGGAGGGGGGCTAGGGTCGGGTCGGGTCGGGTCGGGTCAGATCGGAACCGCTCGGGTCGGATCGGAACCGCTCGGGTCGGATCGGAACCGCTCGGAACCAGTCGGGTCTTACTGGGACCAGTTGGCTCAACCAGGTTCAGCCCAGCTCAGCTCGGCTTGGTTTGGGTCGGATCCAGAACCAGTCAGCCCAGTTCAGCGCCAATGGCCTGGCTCAGCCCAGTTCGGGGTGTCCCGCTTGGGCTCAGCCCAGTTCGGGGTATCCTGCTTGGGCTCAGCCCAGTTCGGGGTGTCCCGCTTGGGCTCAGCCCAGTTCAGCCCCACTGGCCAGGCTTGGCTCAACCAGGCTCAGCTCAGACCAGCTTGGCTCAGTTCTTGGCTCAGCCCAGTTCAGGCCAATTTAGCCAGGCTCAGCTCAATCCAGTTTGGCTCAGCCCAGCCTGGTTTAACCCGGGTCAGCCCAGCCTGGCTTTACTGGCCTGGCTCGGCTCCGCTCAGCCTGGTTTTACCCACCCCAGTTTGGCTCAGTTTGGCTCAGCTTAACCAGGCTTGGCCTATCCCAGTTTGGCTCAGCTCGGTTTGACTACTGCCATCCCAGTGCCACCCTCGGTGCCATCCCGGTGCCATCCCTGGTGCCATCCCGGTGCCATCCCAGTGCCATCCCAGTGCCATCCCTGGTGCCATCCCAGTGCCACCCTCGGTGCCACCCCGATGCCCAGGATCCCTTCCCGGAAAGGACAAGGACAAACCCCAGGTGGGCACCAGGTGTGGCAGCACAGCCAGGTCACCTCCAGGGACAGGACGAGTGCCACGTGGTGCCATCCCTGCTGGGACACGGCCGAGCTGGCACGGCCGCCGGGCACCTCTCCAGGCGCTGGCACCGCGCTCCGCTAATTAACGGGGCCGAGATAACGAGGGCACCGCAGCGGGCACCGAGCCGTGACCCCAAAGCCAGCGCAGGGGTGGCACTGGGGAGAGGGAGGCGCTGCCCGCATCCCCTGGCACCCCAAAATGATCGGGGAAACAACCCTGGGTGGACACTCAGGGACCCCCAAATGCCCAGAGACCCCTTGATGCCCGGGTTCCCTCGTGCCCAGAGACCCCCAAATGCCCAGAGACTCTCTCGATGCCCAGGGACCCCTCAGTGCCCAGAGACCCCCAAATACCCAGGGACCCCTCAGTGCCCAGAGACCCCCAAATACCCAGGGACCCCCAAATGCCCAGAGACCCCACAGTGCTCAGGCACCCCCCAAACGCCCGCCTTGGGGCACAGGGAGGTCCCTGGGGACAATTTGGGGGTCTCGCCCCCCCCCACCCCGGGGGCGCCCCCCGGGCCCCCACAGGGGGGACAATTTGGGGGTCTCGCCCCCCCCCACCCCGTGGGCACCACGTGTGCCCTCAACGGAAAGGGGCGTGGTCTGAGCCAGAGGGCGTGGTTTTCACATACTCAGCCAATAGGAAGCGGCGAACTCCTCTCTGACCCCGCCCCCTGCCGCCCTCAGGCGCTCAAACGTCAATCAAAACGTGGCGGGCTGGCGGCCCGACCCATCACAGGCAGCTCCCGGTGTGTGGGGCGGGAATCTAACGTGTATCAACCAATCAGAATGAGCGATGGGCGGGGCTTCGCTCTAGCAGGCTCAGGCACGTTTCCGCCTAACCCGGAAGTTCTGGGGGAACTTCCGGTCCGGCGGCGGCGGCGCGGCCTCGTCAGGGCCCGCTCCGGTTCCCGGCGGCGTTCCTGGTCCCGTTCCCGTTCCCGGCCCCGTTGCGGGCCCCGTTCCTGGTGCAGCCATGGCGGACGTGACCGCCCGTAGCCTGCAGTATGAGTACAAGGCGGTGAGTGCGCGCCCGGTGCCCCGAACCCGGTCCCGTTACCGTGAGCCCGTCCCGTTGCCATGAGCGCACCCCGGTACCGGGAGCTCCCTCCACCCCAACTTTGGGACCCCTTATGGGACCCTCAGCCTCCTACTGGCACCTCGGACCCCATTTTGGGACCCCCTGACCCATTTGGACACCTCGGGTCCAATTTGGGGACCCCTTGGACCCTCCCCAGCCCCGTTTTGGCCCCCAGTCCCAGTTTGGGGTTCCCCATCACCCTTTTGAGACCTCCAGCCCCGTTTTGGGATTCTCAGGTTCCCTTCAATCCCATTTTGGGATTCTCCCGCCCTGTTTTGAGACCCCTCACCCATCTCCCAGCCCCAATCCACCCCCTCAACCCCATTCCCATCACCCCAAATCCCATTAAAATCCCATTTTACCCCATTTTAATCCCATTTTACCCCATTTCACCCCATTTTAATCCCATTTCACCCCATTTTACCCCATTTTAATCCCATTTCACCCCATTTTACCCCAATTTAATCCCATTTCCCCCCGTTTTCCCCCCAGAACTCCAACCTGGTGCTCCAAGCCGACCGCTCCCTGATCGACCGCACGCGCCGGGACGAGCCCACGGGGGAGGTTCTGTCCCTGGTGGGGAAGCTCGAGGGGACCCGCATGGGGGACAAGGCCCAGAGAACCAAACCCCAAATGCAGGAGGAGAGAAGAGCCAAGTGAGCGGAAAATTGGGGATTTTCATCGTGGGAGAGGTTCCAGTTTGGCTTTGGAAAAGTTGATTTTGTTGGGGGTTTATTTCCCAAAAAATTCGATTTTTTTTTTTGGTGCTAAATATCCCAAAAAATCTCTTTTTTTGGTAGTAAATATCCCAAAAAACCTGCTTTTCCTCATGCCCAATTTCCAAAAAAAATCTCTTATTTTGGTGCCAAATTAAAAAAAAAACAAGTTTTTTTCTGGTGCTAAATATCCCAAAAAATCTGCTTTTCCTGGCTCCTAATTCCCGTAAAAACCTGCTTTTCCTGGAGCTTTCCTTTCTCCAACTCAACATTTTTGGGAATTTTTGGGGTTGGAAAACCCAAAATCCCAAACCCACCCGTCTCGGAGATGCCAAAATTATCACAAAAAATGAAAATCAATCAATTTTTTGGGAATAAGTTGGTCTGGAAAGAGCAGGATTTGAGCCATGAGAGAATTTTTGGGGCTGGAAAACCCAAAGCCCCAAACCAACCCATCGTGGAGGTGCCAAAATCATCGCAAAATATGAAAATAAATCAATTTTTCCGCGTTTTTTTGGGGAAAAATGGGTCTGGAAAGAGCAGGATTTGATCCCTGAGTGTTCCTAATTCCCAGTTTTCCCCAATTTTTCCAGGAGGAGGAAGAGGGACGAGGACAGGCACGACATCAACAAGATGAAGGGCTACACTCTGCTCTCCGAGGGCATCGACGAGATGGTGGGCATCATCTACAAGCCCAAGACCAAGGAGACACGGGAGACCTACGAGGTTCTCCTCAGCTTCATCCAGGCTGCCCTGGGCGACCAGGTGAGCCCCGGGGTCATCTCTGGGATTCTGGGATTTGGGATTGGGGGATCCCGTCGCGGTGACCCCGTGGGATGAGGTTGGGAGGTGCGGAATAGGTTGGGTTGGAAGGGGTTGGAGAAGTTCTACCATGGGTTGGGATGTTTTCTGCTGGATCAGCCTGGGCTTGGACACTTCCAGGGATTCCAGCTTCTCTGGGGAGTCTATCCCACCCCCTTCCCAAAATCCCACCTGAATCTCCACA